CCCACAAGTTAATCACATTTCAGTTTCAGTATTTGTTTCGTTTCACTTTGACTCTACTACTGTTTTTAGTTTACCCCCTGTTTGCCTCTTAGGCCACAGCAGGGGGCATCCTAACCCAACAATATCACATTCAAACTACACTTTCCTCAGTATGCTTAACTAAAATTGGGATTATTGGGCTGGCTAAATCACCTATGTAATTCTGTATGTGGCTGTTTTAAAGTGTGCATATTTTAAATGAATATTTTAGTGTATTTAGAAGCTAATATCACACACCAGCCTGATAAATTAGACTTATATTATTTTGTGTTATTTGCAATCTGCAGTAGGCTTCTTAAGTCAGCTTTGGAAATTATCATTAGTATACGATCAACTGTGTGGTTTACAGCTTACTACAGGTTGTGATGTGTGCCTTCTGTGGACAGTTGCATCACTGGAAAAAAGAGACAATGCTTTCCAGATTTTTCCCTCAGCAGATGTCGGGAATAGACGACACCACAGAGCAATGTGCAGGAAACAGACGGGATGTCAATTTAAGTTTCCGTTGTTATTTGCTGTTTAGGTGTCTATGGAGACAAAATATTAAATGTGAGCTTTTGAATTTTTGTTGATTAGTATACTGGTTGCTTTTATAATGTTGCACAGTCTCTTCATTTTAACAGTAACTCTAGTTCCAGAAAGATACTATGGAGCAAATTACTCCTCCCATAATAATAATAGATACGTGATTTAGAAAGAGTTCATATAAATTAAAGCCTCATACCACAGACATGTCAAGAACCTACAGTTTAGTATTAACAATAAACACATTTTGTAGTGACTTTTTATCAGGGTAAACTGTAGTATAAAACACACAAGAATCAATTCAAAACTGACCGGTCTTTGACACGGCTGTCAGATGGAACCGTTACATGTAGGACGTGTCTGGTCACTCCCTCATGTGTGCATATTAGTCAGTGGGGCCCCATTTCTGTCTTACCGTGGGCCCCTCCCTTAATGTGGATCCCAGCTTTGAAACTGCATAGTACATTTCCCATGATGCATGTTTTTTTTTTTTAAGTATGTTAAAGTATATTAAATTTCTCTCCAGTGGTTGGGATTTTGAGAGAATATGTGAGTGTGGGTGGATGCACATTGTTGTGTTCATGCAAGGGTGTTGCATGACAAAAACAAAAATCCATTCACTGCTGCCAATATGTCAGAAACATAAATCATATCATCAAGATCAAGTGGAGTACACTTTTGAAACTTCCTCTTGTCACTTCCAGATACCCACACAAACTGTTCATAACTATATTTGTACATTTATGAATTAGTTAGTGGATTGGTTAGTTGGTTTAGTCGTCAACAACTAAAATAGGTGAAACAGCTAGAGTAGTGTTTATTGATTCCAAGTTAAGGTTAACTGTACTTTGGTTATGGTCGGCATTTTGTCTATATTGATCACAAATCTCTTGTTTGATACACTGCATGATTGAGCCTTTTGTTGATTCGCAGAACACTTAATGAGATTCAAATGTCCAGTGCAAACCATTCTGACAAGTGTTTTGTTTACTTTCCTTGACAGTAGCAGCATATTTACAGATTGGCATAGTAACTTCCTTTCCAGGTCCAGATCTGAGCAAGCAGCCAGATATCCACTCATCTCTATCTGCGGATACTTTCAGATTCAACATGGAGCTATTATATTGTATTACATTAGCACTCATCTATTTACTCTGACTATATGAGATGTAGCACATGGAGACTTCTTCACACCATATTCTTTTAGCCTACTTTTTACAAATATTTTCTTCATGGAGCTATTATTAACATTTTAATGTAAATAATGTATCACATGGCTACTTACCTGAACGAATGTAACAAAGAGCCCACAAAGTATTATGATCCAACTCTGCAGTTCCCCTCAGCTGCCTGTATTGAGCAATTTAGCATCTTTCAGCCCATTATTTTGGTTTTATGCAGCAACTTCGTCCTGTTCTGTTTATTTAAAAAAAACTGTATGCTTACATAGGCATACATTGGAGTCACAGAGGTTAACAATCGCAAATTGATTAAACAGTTTTTAAAAGCACTTACCGCCATTCTGACGATATTTCCAGAATCCCCAAAGAGTCTTAACGATCTGGATGAATAAATATTTCATCTTTTGCGGGATAAAAAAAAAGATTTTTAACCGTTTAACTTGAGACTCTGCTATTCAGGTAGTAAAGTTAGGTGGCCTGCCATTTTTGTTTTGATCTGGAAACAGAGGTGCAACTTGGGAAAGAATATTTTTCTTCCCTTCAGCAGTTAAGGGATATTTTTTATTTAGATGGTTAGAGTCTTTAGGGATTCTGGAAATACCTTCATAGTAAGTCATTTTAAATAACTTTGGGTTTTCACACATCTATAATTATAAGAAACCAATGGTCACTTCTATAATATAACGTTACTGTATGAGTAGGCTGTTCATTGGGAGTATAAACCGCGTTCATTAGCGGACATAGATATTTTACAAAGAAGTTATCTTAGTGTAAACCAAACACAGCTAAAGGAAGATTTAATACTGGACTTACATTAGCCTGACACATGGCACCAAATGAATACTAATGTTGTTCCGTATCTGCTGAATGGCAACTATAAGAAGTTAATTAAAAGCAGTTCACAGCTTGTTTCTGCTGCCGCCAAGTGGCCAAATTGATTATTGCAGATAACTTTTTTTTTAGATGTATGATAAATGTATGTATGAATTAATTTCTGCTTCACTGATTTTAATAATCTGCTGCCTATCCTGATGGCTTTATATCTGTTCCAGGCTGTGATGGAAGAAGAAAGTATAATATTAAGATTTCCCGGCATATGGATTGATATTTACTGTATCTGTCTTGAGTAACTTCGTGGTGCCCATAATAATTACTGAATATAAAATGTTTTCATAGTGGGAAAACTTGTTAACAGAGAAGATATTGTTATTGCATAAGTTTCAGAGAGGCCCTGTTGTCATATTCAGTTTTCCACTCAGTATCAACGCCATACATGATGTCTCTTAGAACAGGAAACTCAGGAAAAGGAGCGACGTGATATAACAGGCATGAGGAGTCTGAAGTGAAAGATATGTTATGATTATTATTTAAATTGTGACCTAATGTTTCAAATTCTTTATCATGCAGGATCAAAGACTTGATTTGTTAATACTGCCACCTTTTCATGAACCTGAAAGTTCATCAACTTTTAATTTGCATCACGGGGTCAGCCTGCAGACTGCACCTCATGAGCTCAGGGTCTCACTCGGTCTCTTGTGTGCTCTCATTTACCTCCAACCCTTTCACTCCACCCAATATTATCTTCCCATCAATGAGTTTAGATGGGGCGTGCTTTGGCATGGAGAAGAAAAACATGACGTATTTGGCAGCTGTAACTACGCTGAGGGGGGATCCACCCCACAATAAACCAGCTGAGTTTTGTTCACAATCCCAGATTCCACTGCACATACACTACTCTTGGCTAGATGGTGGAATAGAGAGGTGGAGCAATTTAAGAGCTGGATGGGATGAAGGATGGGAGGGGAGCAAGCTGGAGCTGGGGGAATTGTGTGACATTGATGAAAAGCTGTGGAAGAGAAGATCTGGAGTGATATACTGTAGCGATACAGGGGCAGATGTGTGGAAAATTTAAAGGGTTGGTTCACCCAAATTACAAATAAAACTTTTAATTCATTTTATTAATGCCACAAACCCCAGTATAGTGGAGTTCAATAAAATCTGTGGTGCTCAGAATTAATTTTTTTTTAAAACAATTCAAAAGCATCACTTTTCAGACAAAATGTTTGCTTTATACTGGATGCATGTCCTGTTAATTGTTTTCATAGAAAGTAGTTCCAAGTAAAATGACCAGAACAAGGTCTCTCCATAATCCAGAGTCCTTGTTGTGAACAGAGAAAGAGAGATCGCTGTTTTCAGCACAAATTAATTTCCATTCATCTCCATTGTATTGGGCCAGTGGCAAAATACCCAGAGATGCATATCTCACAACCTGGGCAAATCAAACTATCAGCATGACAAGATAAAATTACATATAGATTGTGTGTGCGTGTGTGTGTGTGTGTGTGTGTGTGTGTGTGTGTGTGTAATTTCAGTGAACCAACCCTTTACGTTTGACAGACTTAGAGAGAGCCTTCGGAATGAGTAAATGTTGGGCAGACAATTAAATGAGAGGTGAACTCGATATTCTCACATGGAGTCTGTTGGTTTCTTGGTTATACTGTATGTAAAATAAGATCTTAGCAGATGATTCACCTCACAGAGTTCAAGGTCAAATAGGTTGCAAAGAACAGATGTTTGGGCGTAAATTCATACAGCAATGTTCACGTCCACTGGAATTTACACTGGTTAAATTTGCACCATGCGGCACTGTCAGATTGTTGATGACCACGTTGAAGTCTATATATTTATGCCTATTTGATGGCTTTATTTGTGGCATATTGTAAAAGAGGACAGCTCTACAGCTGCTCAGTGGCATTGAGGAAATATTTTCCTTGTAGGGTGTGGAAGGGGAAAGGACAGTGTAGGAATTCACATGGGGCTTGACCTTGTGATGAAAAAGGGGTGTGAGTGGATGGGAGATAAACTAGCACTGTCACATACAGTAGATAGTGACAAAATAAATAAATATATGAATATGATGATGGATAGTTAGTCGACTCTGTAATGACGTGGTGCTCATGAACATGTCCTGTGCTGTTTACTGTTTAGAAAAGACAGCTGGTGGATGTTTTTTGCTGCCCCACCCAAACTGTGAAAGACAAAGCAGTGTGAAGTCATGTCATTACTACTGCTTATGCAAACCAGCTGTGTGACCGTATGGGCTGTGCTGGATTTAAATTCAATGTGCCTTAGAGCACAGATGTATGTGTGTGTGTAATATGTGCACATGTTTCTGTGGTTCAAAAACCCATTGCTATTTCCACTTACTCTTTTGATTGTTGTTTTTTGTTTTTTGTTTTTTACAAAACGAGACGATTCATAAAAAAAGTTTTTTATTTTACCAATTTAAACTACAGGGTGCTAGTAAAATGAAACAGTCACATTGGAATGTTAGCAATGACAAGATACAAAATGGACTGAAAGGAGAAATCAATGCAAGACATCCCATTTATATATCAGTGTGTCCCAGTTCGACTAAAAAACATTGCAGTTTCTGTTGGTATTAAATCGCAGGTATATCAGTAAATACTGACTGATTTACAGGACAAAAACAATTCCAAAGAACATCAGATTTTAGTACAGAACATTTGCTATGAAATGAAATTCTTTGGCACATAGTAGGAACTTAATACATGTCAGTACAAAAAATAAAAACAGGACATAAAAGGCACCATACTATACATACTGCTCAATAGAATGCTGATAGTAAAAAGAGCATATTCAGTATATTGAAAAGAGAATAACACTGACAAATGGATGGACAGAGCTGACAGTAAGAGGCTCTTCGTCCTAGGTCTTTTTGAGTCTGGTCAGACAGTTTCAGCAGCAACTATGAAGCCACTGTAAAGACTCCTGTTGGCTTTGTGATTGATTTCACTACAGTTTGCAGTGATATATTGGAGAATTCCTTGCAGCTACCCCTTTTCAAGAAAATGATGTAATTAAAACTTCAATACTCCTTCATCCTCACTGCAAGTCGGTGAGCCATCACTTTGTCAACTTCATTTTACAAAATTGTACACTTTTCATAGAGGATGTCACATGCACATTCAGACTTGTTAATTCACTCACTCATACTTTATCAAAATCCACGACTTGCAATCAACTACACATACATACAGTAAGCAAGCTTAAATGTATGTGTGCACAGTACATGCAAGTATTTGTAGACACACGTACACACATTCATACACAATCAGTAACTCAATCAGGCAGGGCCCAACGGATTTTCTCTCTGAGAGATTTGTAAACAGATTTCAAGGCAGTGTGATTTATTTCCTCTCTGTCTGTCATGGCTTTACACTAAACTTAGGAACAGTTTAATTTATGTTCTTATGCTGTACTAGTGAAGAGTTGACTGGAGCTTTAAACCTGATGACATGCAGAGACCGGCTATGTGTTGCCAGCACATGGCTGTAACTTCAGGGGCTGCAGTCATCATGGGAACCAGTGCTGATTCAATGAAATACACTCTCCTTCAAACCATAGCTGCCCATCTCCTGTCTCTCGTTCCAACCTGCCAACAAACCAGGGACTGAGCCTTCATCATCATCAACATCATTCATCACAGCCATCATCATCGTCATCAGACTACTTTTCCTGATATTCATTGAGGCACATAGCCAAAAGAGGAACATAACAAGAGAGGAGTTATGTTAATGTGGGAGATTGTTCTAGTCCCTGATGTTCACTTTGTTGTGGACTATATGGTTGGGCAGGAGTGGATTCAGAGAGGGAGGTGAGTTTGCATAAGCATGTGTGCATGTGTGTTTGTGTGTGGGGGTTGTGGGGGTATTTCCTGGGCTTATTTGTAGACTTTTTCACAGCTCTGTGTCGGCTGTCTTGGTGGTGGAGTGGCCGTTGGTGGGAGGAGGAGGCTGGGTCTTGTCTGCCTCAGGGGACTCTCCATTTACACTGGGTTTCTCCTGGGTTTCTGGAGGTGGGTTGAGGGGGGCTACAGATACAAGAGTGTTCCCCTGGTTCTCCTGATCTACTGGATAGGCCTCCTCTGCCTGAAAATACAGCACAAGCAGCTCAACATGGAAAGGCAAGATAGAAAATTTCAACAACACATGGGTGTCAGGATACTTGTATAGGCTTGTAGGTAGTATGAACTAGCTATGAAGAAGTTGTCCCCTCTTTTCATCAGTGTAAAGCATGCTGAAATATTTGAGAAATGTAGCAGACATTTCCCATATTTAAATTTTTTTCTTGATTTAGTAAATCATAAAAAAAAAGCTTTACTGTGCTTATGTGTTATATAGGACCTTGAATATTCTGAAGGGGTTAAAAATAAAGCAATGTAGTTGATGATCAACCAGTTCTGCCATTCACATAATCACGTATGTACACAGATGCCTCCCATAACCCCTACACCCTCCCACTATTACTTCTAAACACATGTCCTGTTATGTGGTGTCTATCATGTGATACAGCTGTGCCTGGTTAGTAGATGAAACAGTGAGCCCTGCAGATTAAAAAAAAGGCAGCAGAGAGCAGGGCGTGGGTCTTTGGATAGCATACTCTCACTCTTTCTCTGCATATTCTCTGTGATAGCTGGCCAGCAACATTCCCTAATTAAAACTTTGGTAGCAATTGATTCCAACGGAAGAAAATAGTGCTCTTTTGACTTCAGATGTAGAAAAACAAGGTAATCACTGCAGTGATTTTCATTTCATGGGTTCAGTGCTATATCACTGATAGGCAACTCCTGTGGAGCCAACACAAACATAAAAACCATAAAGTAACTAAATAAGGTCCACAGTGGCAACATACAATACTGTATATTGTGCATCTATTATGAACAGAAAATGTCAAAATGTGCTTACCAGCCTCACTCCCTTCGTGTCAGACTTGCGTTTGCATTTCAAGTAACCTAAAGTGATTGCAAGGGCGGCAATCAGACCACTGACCAGTATGCCCACAAATACAGAGGAACCACCTGGTGGTGGTGGGTTACCAAGCTGCAAACAAGTTGAAGAGATAAAGTTGTGGTCAAAAAAAGTATGTGTGTGAATTTGCAGCCATATAAAATCATCATTCTTGAGTTGAAATGTTAAAAGTCAAAAAGTAGAGAAAGACCAACTGAACAGGCAGTTAATCAAAACCACAATCAAAAATAAGGGAGTAAAACTGAGACCTCAGCATGTGAATCCTTGGCTTTGAGTATGGTCGTGTTCCCTGAGGCGCCTCCATCCTGCTTGTCAGAACTGACTGTAGATGGTACATTGGTCGCTGGAGAACCTCCAGAAGTAGCAGAACTTTCAGCAACAGCAGGAGTGACACTTACATTCGATGAAGCAGTGGTACTTGGAGCTGCAGTGGATTCATTCATTATTATTATTATGATCATTATTTCATTATGGCCTATCTTAGAAGAGGACATAAAGTGATTTAATTTTAATCTGAATAACCAACAAAATTCCACAGAAATTGCCAAAACCCCAGTGATCATCTCAAGTCTCATTGCACGCTTACCAAGGCTCCCAGTAGTGCCGACTGAAGATTCTTTTGTAGTTGCATTGCCTTGACACATCACCTCATCTGCAAGGAAGGGAGATCATGTGAGAACCAGTGAGTGACAACAACATCAACACTTTTATCTGATGAATCAATGCTCTTTGATGCCTGCAACAATTAAAGCATTGCTCTGTAAACTGTGTTCCTCCAACGTCTCGTAACTTAATATTCTATGTCCTTCTATGATTGGGATACTTGATTGGGATAATCATATTCTAAGTTTGGGAACTACATTCCCATAATTTGGGGGCTTTGGGGATGTAAACAGGAAGTATAATGTTGCCATAGATGCAGTGAGTTAGCTGTGGGCTATTAGAATTAGAATGGACAATTTAGAATGGACAGAAAACTTTCATACTGGAGAAAACGTAAAAAACTGGAGATTCACTTCTAGAGTTATAAGGAGCTTCTTTTTGAAAATGTATTTGTGATGGAAATCAAACTTAATGATATCCTTGAAAAGTATTAGTCACACCGAAACTAAAAATATTTGCATCATGTCTGTAAACTCAATTTTCACAGTGTTATGACTACGATAAGGAGTATGACTTTTGACTAAAACTGTGGCAATTGGGTGCTAAGGATTTTAAAGCAAATTGCCTCCCTGAGCTATCACAGCCACTGCAGTGCTGGCTGTGTCAATATGGGTCAAATCAGCAGTTGTGTTAAAACGGTGTTGTGTTAAAATGTATTTTCCTATAGATATGCCTTTCCCTTTACCTTAATCTGCACCCAATTTTGTCCTTAACCCCAACCGGGCGTCTTCTAAGATTCTTAACCAGACCCCAACCATACGCTAACATCAGCCAACTATCACTGCTACACCTATAATCTAACTGCTATGATCTAACCTATGCCCTAACCCCAACCATGGAGGGGAGACCTTCAGGAAGGAGGAAACACTATTCGAGGGGGGAACATGAAATATGTATGGTATCTCGGGATGAAATTTCTAGCACAGGCTCAATGAAATGTTTGTGTGAATGAGGTCAGGGCAGAGGGTTGGTTTGAACAGTCTGAACTCTTGAACCAAACCTCATGCCCAACCCAAAGATGCCAAACCAATTTGGAATGTGTTCTCAGGGGCTCTAAGTAATTACTAGTCACATATGGGCTAATTCTCACTGTCAGCCTAGGCACATAAACAGCTCAGTCAAAAGGTCATGGTATCCTGATACACATCCATCCTCTGGGAGAGATCATGTTTCTGTAATAATCTTGGGATTAATTTGGGTGGTGCTAAGACCTTTCTTACATTAAAGGACACCTATTATGTTTTTCCACATTTTATGACTTATCTACAATGTTACAATGTTGGAGGTTCATGTTAAACATTGCCAAAGCTTCTAATAAAGATGTATTTAAAAGAAATCCCTGTGAGCAAAAACTTCAGATTTCCTCCTGTTCTGAACGCTCTGTTTTGAACTGATTTTTCTACCAATGGCTCCGTTCTAGGACACACACAGAGCTTTTCCCGTCGGGCGGCGCGAAGGGGGCGGTGCCGGCGACGCAAAAGCGAAGCGAAGGCAACGCGCCACCGACGGCTTCACAGAGTTGTGTGGAGAGGGCCAGGCAGAGCAGACGATTGAAAATCTGCTGGCCGGCGGAGAACTGCTAAACTTGGGGGAGAAGAGCCGGGAGCAGCACTCCAGCTTTTGGACAAATAAACACCTGTAGTCGGACTGGATTCTGCTCTGACAACTGCAGCGTTTGCTTGCGGGAGGAGTAAACTGCTATTATTAAATTAGCTTTTTACTTTAGTTTTTGGGATTACAACATTGATTTATTTATCTTCATTCGAGCTTCTCAGCAGCTAGATTCCGTGCACATCCGATTCCAGTGTTGTTACGGTCGTTTGGCACTACTTCATATTTATATAAAAACCGGACAAACCTGGACATTGCTGGGAGAAAAAAAAGCGAGGAGGTTGAACTACCTGGTGAGTTCAGAAAACATGTGTATGTAAATTTATTCCATTCATTGTACTTTACAGTGACCAAGTTAGCATAGCATAGCCCTGATCGATCCAAACTCCATTCAGAAAACCAACATTTTAGAAGTTGTTGTCCTGCTGTCTTGCTGACAGACCTGACAAAGCATGAATTCACATTAACAAATCTGCATCATATTATTTCGGCATCAGTTTGATCCGTTTATTGCTATTTAATCACAGCAAAATGTTTACTTTGGGTTCATACAGCTGTTGTGTTTATTCGCGTTATTGCGTTGTGTGTGAACACTCAGCAGTTGTCCAGCGATAAAACCCCCGCGAGGAGAGCGTTTCGTCGCATTTGGTCTGAATGCCGCATCAGACAGGCTGAAATGAAGGCCTACATGAAGAGCCAGTATAAGACAGGGAATTCTTTTTTTGAACTTAAATCATGCAAAGCTGCCATACACTAGTCATAGAACAACAATATAGGACTGGAAAAGCAGTATAATAGGTCTCCTTTAAGGTTAAGAATAGTAGAAAGCCTTCCCTGTGTTCATGTGAGGTATTTCTAGGTATATGAGTGTTGAGTGGCTTCCCTAGGTTGAATTAGTTTTTAAAGTTTAATGTCTAACAACAGATTTATATGACAAATCTGCTCATCTAGCCAACTAGATAATGTTAATAGATTGCCCTGTTCAATTGTATATGTTCATCAAAATATAATAAACTTGATTTGATTTTATGGGGCAAGCATTTTAACTGTTGTGTTATTACACGCCCACATAGACACACAGAACTCTTTATAATAGGGCTAGATGCCATCACCCCTGCTCCCACTGCCACTGCCACAAAGGAGAACTGAATTGCTGCACCATTATTTCTAAACACTCCCCTTCGCATGGAAGGAAACCAACATAATGTGTAAACAGTTTAACATCAAACCAAAACTATGCTGCAATCTGAGGAAAATGTTTGGTTTGGTGAACCACTACCATTATTTAGTTCATTACCAGACTGATTAATTTAGATGTTTAGTGTGTGTTTGCAATCCTATAAACATGAATGACTTTAACATACTCTGGAATAACTTCCAAGCTCCTTGAAGGAACTTTAGTACCCCAAACAAAACACAGTGTGATATTTTTCCCAGCTAGCAAGCGACCAACATACTATAGTATGTGTCCAGGCTCTTTAATAAATGGTTTTCTCCTGCAGTGCGTTTTACCTTGACAATGGCATCAACTAGCTGTACATTACGCAAAGCTGGCCATATGCTGCATTTTAACTATTGTAGGTGGTCATACATCCTAACATTTGTTTAACTGTGCTAATAGAGCTTTTAGCTAATTGCCTTTGAGCTGCTATGTTTAATAGATCAATAATGTGGGATAAAAATGTTTAGCCTCCATGCCACTGAAAAAACCTACCTAAGTTTATGCTTCATATGTATCAAGATTTTATTAGAACAAATAGTATCAGTGGAATGTTTTAAAGCACTTCACAGTCCAGCCAGTTAAGTATTAAGTGTCTAGAATAAGCACAATTATTTATGTTTTAAAGAAACCTGCCCAGTTTGTTTTCACTGTATCAATGGGTTCTCTTGTTTAAACACAGATTATATGCACATATTCTGCACACATACAGACATTTGACACAAACAGTATGTGCTAATGGATACAGATGCACATACACACACACACACACACACACACACACACACCAATTTGCTCCCTTTAAACTCTTACATGTCTGTTACACGTCTGAGGTGTCTGTGTCCACACCAGAGTGGACACAGACACCTCAGACAGCTGTGTGAGAAATCTCACTGTGTTTCTAGCCAGGCCCCTCAGCATCAACATGAAGCCTTAGGACCTTCAGTCTCAACACAAACACAGAGAAACATACATAACACTCCTACTCTATAAACACAACTTTGGTCTCTTTCCAGAGAATGTTTGATGAGTTCAGGGAACACAAGGCAAAAGCTGCAGACTATGCAACCTCTGGCTTCAGTCCTGCTCTTCAGCACTCTCTTTACTACATCAAGTGGATTTCCTGAACTGATTGTCCTCCTTGAAGCTTTCAGCGTGGGTGTTCCAGTCTTTGACGTGGTGCGTGGGGTGTAGCCACACCAGATGTAAAGAATTAAATCATATGTTAAAGAGAGGATATTATATAGGCCAAGGATTGGTGAATGACAGTTCAAATACTTTTACATTTTTTTTGCCTATGGTTGACAAATCAACAGCAATTATAAGGCAGGATAAAGGCAGATATTTCACCAGCAAATGACACATGTAATTTGGTGGATGCTTGAAGGGCCTTACAGCACCATGCCTGCTTGCATATGTAGCACACATAGCCCCTGGCAAGGGCTTTGCTCTGTCTATGAAGGTTTACAGGGCCACAACCATTATTGTTGACATGCTGCTGGAATGTGTTGCAGCTACTGAGTTGTTGGTATATAGGTTGACCCAACTGTACTTCATTGTTCTTCACTTTTAACACCAAGGGAATGTAAGCAACAATAAAGTAAGTCAGTAACACATTAATTATCAGGTATTAATCCTGAAAATTGGAAGATTGTCGAGAATTTCACAACGTACTTTAGTGGATTATGTTTGAAGAAATGGATTAAGTAAGGTCATTACTGAATTGATAAACCTATATTGAACATAATCACTTACTGCTTGAAATTCAGGATCTAGTCCACACTGAAAATAAATCAAGTACAAGCCTGAGATAGACACAAACACATAAAAATATTTTGAAGCACTGGTTGGACCAATGCATACATGAGGGCAGTGATGAAATTAGTGGAGATGTGAGGGTTCCAAGGTTTAGCTCTCTGGTGGTGAATAATATATTTCCAAGGCATTCAGACTATAGTGGAGTCAGGGGAGAAAAGGAAAGAGATGATGACATGGAGGGGGATACTGTGACTTATCATCAATTTTCATACTAAAAGCCACTTCCTATGTTTTTCACATTTGGTTGGATTTCCTTCCGGATGATCTTTTAACCCTCTTCTTCACTGGGGAAATACCTTCCAACTCCTCCTTATACACTAACAGACACACCCACAAAAATT